ACCTGTGTTGCCCGCCGGGCTTCACTGACACATTCACCTCGGGAACCCAGTCGCTCATCCGGCGCTTGGCTTACAACCTACGGTAGGCGCCTCGTGAGTGGCACGACACGCTGCGTGCTACGTTAGCTTACCGGCAGTTCTTCCCGTCATCTCTAGACCCCTTGCTCTTCATTCATGCTGGCTAGACCCCGTTCTACATCCTTGTCTTCGTAGACGACCTGGTGCAGACAGAGGCGCACTGACCTCCGTGAAGGTTGAGTTGCTGAGGAGACACAAATGCACTGACCTAGGAGAGCTGCGCTGCTACCTTGGCCTGCAGATCTCTAGGGACAGATCAGCGCGCACCATCACTCTTACATAATCACATTTGATGCGCCAGGTCCTTTAGAGGTTCGGCCTTCATTTCTCCTTCGAACAGCCCACACCTCTTTCAGTAGATCACAGGATCTTGGCTCCAGTCCCTGAGGAGTCTGTAGAGCATAGTGGTCCTTACACAGAGCTGGTGGGTAGCCTCATGTACTTGATGACTTGCACTCGCCCAGATCTTGCATACCCTCTCAGCATCCTGGCTTGCTTTGTGGCGACAGGCAGGCACCGACCACGACACTGGTCGGTCGCTAAGAGGGTTTTGCAATCACATCAGGCATCGGGTTAGTCCTAGGAGGACGCAGGCTAGTAATGTTCACAGGGCACACAAACGCTTCGTCGGTGGACGACGTTGAAACGCTCAGGTCCTCCCAGGGCTACTGCTTTAGTCTTGCTATCTCGTGGACGTCCACGCGTTTGTTGTCTGTTGCCCTGTCTGGCTGTGAGGCAGAGATCTACGCTGGTGCCATGGCAGCACAGGAGCTCCACTGACTGACTTTCTTGCTCACAGACTCAGGTGAGCAGCCTAGCTGTGCCCCAGTCCTATACGCTGACAACAACGCCATGATCCTCATGTGTCAGGAGCCTCAACTAGAGGGCAGATCGAAGCACATCCAGCTGCAGTACTTCCTTTTGCACGAGCTATAGCAGCACCGCTAGGCTCGCGTAGTACACTTGGCCTCCGGTGCCAACACAACTGATATCTTTACGAAGGCGCTTGCGCCTAAAGATCATCAGCGGCACAGTGTGTACTGCTTGGTCTAGTTCCTGTAGCTTCTCACTTGCTCGGACCTTGACTGTGTATTACTTTTGTATTATTATTATTACATTGAGTGGCCTTGTGGTTGTTGTTATAGTGGCTGACTAGTAGGTCTTGTTTAGTTTAGACTGGTCTTTGAACCCTTGCCTCAGAGGTTGGACTAGTAGTGCCACCCTGAGCTGCGTGTCTTGCCCCGCACTGCCCTTATCTAGCCAAGGGGGTGTGCCAAACATATATTCATATGTTGCTATAGGTCTCAGAGTAGCAGAATAGACTAGAATGAAGGGTACACGGTAGTTTTGACCTAATGTGTTGTACTCTCTAAGGCATGCCCCTATCTAGGCTACAGCAACATATAGAAATATGTTTGATACACCCCCTAGATTGGACAAGGGGCAGTACCTGGCAAGAGACAAGCGAATCAGGGCGGCACTATTAGTCCAACCTCTGAGACAAGGGTCCGAAGACTAGTCAACAAGAGTACAAACTCGACAAGGGCAAACCAGGGCGGCACTACTAGACCGGCCACTAGAATTGCAGCCACAAGGCCAGTCATGAAGGTATATATAAAGAGGAGTACACAATCAAGGTCCTCGCAAGTGAGGAGCTACAGGAACTAGACCAAGCTGCAAATAGTGCTGCTGTCGATCATTAGGCGCAAGCGCCTTAGTAAAGATATCAGGTGTGTTGGCACCGAAGGCCAAGTGTACTACGCGGGCCTGGCGGCGCTGCTGTAGCTCGCGCAGGAGGAAGTACCGCAGCTGGATGTGCTTCGCTCTGCCCTCGAGTCAAGGCTCCTGACACAGGAGAATCATGGCCCTGTTGTCAGCATACAGGATCGGGGCAGAGCTGGGTCGCTCACCTAAGTCAGTGAGCAAGAAGGTTAGCCAGCGGATCTCCTGAGCCGCTATGGCACAGGCGTAGATCTCAGCCTCACAGCTAGACTGGGCAACAGACGAGGAGCGGGTGGACCTCCACGAGATGGCACCTAAACCAAGGCTAAAGCAGTAGCCCTGGGAGGACCTGAGTGTCTTAGCGTCGTCTGCCCACGAAGCATCTGTGTGCCTTGTAAGGACCACTGGCCTGCGTCCTCCCAGCACGAGTCCCATGCCCGATGTTTTTGCTAGATAACGCAAAACCCTCTTAGCTGCCAACTAGTGCTATGGTCGGTGTCTCCCTGTGGGCACAAAGCGTGCCAGTATGCTGAGAGGGTATGCGAGATCTGGACTAGTGCAAGTCATCAAGTACATGAGGCAACCCACCAGCTCTTTGAAAGGACTAGTAGACTCTACCGACTCCTCAAGAACTGGAGCAAAAAGCCTGTAGTCTACTGGCAGAGATGTGGACTGTACATAGGAGAACTGAAGACCAAACCTCTGAAGGACTTGGTGCACCAAGTGTGACTGTGTGAGAGTGATGGTGCGCGCTGCTCTGTCCCTGAAGATCTGCAGGCCAAGGTAGCAGTGCAGCTCTCCTAGGTCAGTGCAGGTGTGTCTCCTCAGCGGCTTAGTCTTCACAAAGGCTAGTGCGTCTCTGTCTGCAATAGCAAAGACCAGGTCGTCTACGTAGACAATGATGTAGAACGGAGTCTGGCCAGCATGACCGAAGAGCGAGGGGTCTGCAGATGACGGGAAGAACTGCTGGTTAGCTAGCGTAGCATGCAGTGTGTCATGCCACTCATGCGGCGCTTGTCGCAGGCCGTAGACTTGGCACCAGAGGAGCCACTGGGTCCTAGGAGGGAAGGTACCGGTGAAGCCCTATGGACGGCACCGGTGGACCTGCTGGTGTAGACTGCCCAGAAGAAACGCTATAGAGAATTCAAGGGAGTGTAGCTCGTAGTCACGTTGTGCTGCTATGTGTGGCAGCGCCCGAAGAGTAGTCATCTTCAGGGTCGAGGCGAAGGTCTGAAATAAGTCCACACCCTCGTCCTGACTGAAGCCTCTAGCCACATAGCGCGCCTTGAATACAAGCGGCTCTCCAGGGGGGCTCTTCACCTTGAAGAGCCACCGGCCATCGAGTACGTTCACCTTAGGCGGGGAAACTTTGTCGACGTAGGTGCCGGTGGATCTCCAAGATGCCATCTCCTTCTCCATGGCAGCCATCCACTGAGAGGACCAGGGTCGCGAGGTCGCCTCAGCACAAGTACGAGAGGTTGGGATGTTAAGGGAGTCTGGGTCACCCTCAAGGACAAGCAGCATGGAACAGAGATGGGGAGCGGCCTCAGACAGGAAAGCAAGCTCATACTGCCTGTCCTCTAGGATGTCACTACCAAGGGCAGGATCACCCCCGACGGACGGAGGGCAGGCAGGGCCATTGACCGGAGCTGTGGCATAGTCATGGCGGTGGGTAGAGGCAAAGTCATTGACAGCAACGACAAGAGCATCAAGTCTCGATATAGGAGTGGACGGGTCGGTAAACGAGGTAGGCAAGGACCCGAGGAACAAGAGGACGAGCGGCACGAAGATATTCAGACAGAGGAGACAGTGCTGGACAGGTGTCACAGGATCGAATGACTGGAGGAAAGATTGCACTATCGATCAGTACAAGGCGCTTTTATACTTCTAGAGTACATCAGGTAACCAGGTTTATCTTATCCAAAGGGAATAGACCCTTCTAGAAAATAGAATCACCCTGCGTATAGCCACGCGAGGCTATTGGCTTTAAGGGATTACGGCAGGATTACGCTAGATATAGCGCGCCAGTACATCCAAAGCCTGGTCGGTGATACAATTAGAATATCAGGATAAACCAAAGGATAATGGAGAATGGAGAATAGGAAACCAAATGAGATGGGATAAAAAGAGAAATGAAAGAGGAAGGAAATAAGGAGAAGTCAAGTAGCGTAATGGGGTCGTACTCTCACACTTCCCCCCCTCAAAGCTGGGTGGTAGAAGTAACACCCTGCTTGACAAGGTAGTCATGCAGAGGACGACGGGCGTTACCCATGTCGGTCTCAGCTACCCAGCTGTCCTCAAAAGGATCATAACCCTTCCAACGAATAAGAAGCTCCACGGTGCCATTCCGACGATGGCGGTGTGCAAGCACGGACTCGACCTCGTACTCGGGTTCATTCTGGACGAGGACGGGCGGCGGCGGCGGTTGTTGGCGTCCGACGAAGATCGTGTTTGGATCCCGATAGGGCTTCAGAAGTTGGACATGGAAGGCGTTGTGAATCTTCCAGGTAGCTGGCAGGCGTAAGCGGAAGGTAATAGGAGTGACCTGTGCTTCAACGAGGAAAGGCCCGCAGAAGCGAGGTCGAAGTTTAGATGGGAGATGGCTGATGTCAAGGTTGCGGGTGTCAAGGAGCATCTGGTCTCCCACGGTAACGGTGTGGTCGTTGCGATGGCGATCGGCCTGGCGCTTCTGTTGCTGCTGAATGTCGAGGAGGCGCTTGTGGGTCCGATCCCAAAGCTGATGCATGGTTGTGATGAAATCATGTGCAGATTGGACTGTAGCGGATGTTGTCAGTTTTTTTTGTGTGAGTGGGTGGCGTCCGTAGCAAAGGAAGAACGGCGTCTGTCCAGTAGTGGCATGTGTAGCGTTGTTGTAAGCAAACTCTAGAACGGGCAGGTGCAAGTCCCACTTGGAGATCTCGTCCTTGCAGGCTGCTCGGAGGAGTTGCTCAACAATCTGGTTGATGTGCTCGGTCTGTCCGTCTGTCTGCAGATGGTAAGCGGATGACATGGCGAGTTTGGTCCCGAGCAGAGACATATGTTCCTTCCAGAACTTGCTGGTGAACTTGGGGTCTCGGTCGAAGATGAGTGTTGTTGGAATGCCAATCTGTGAGATGATGTAACGAACGAAGAGTTGTGCTGTCTCCTCGGTGCGTGCCGTCGTGTGTGTCGGGATGAAGTGTCCTATTTTGGAGAATTTGTCGATGACGACAAGGATTGCGTCATGACCGCTGGTGGTAGGTGGTAACCCGGTGATGAAGTCCAGGCTAACCACTTGCCATGGCTGTTCTGGGACAGGAAGAGGCTGCAGTAGTCCCGCCTTTTTCTGCTTGCTGCTCTTCATCCGCTGACATGTATCACACGAGGTGACGAATTTCTAGACGTCTTCTGCTAAGTGGGGCCAGTAGTAGTGCTTTGCAATACCTGTTAGCATCTTGTTGCTACCGAAGTGTCCAGCGTAGAGGACATCGTGGTATTCTTCGAGTAGTAACTGGCACAAAGGAGGCTAATTTGGTACCTAGATTTTCGTTGATCCTTTCCGGTACGCAATGTCACTGTCCCACTGAAGTAGAAGTCGCTTTTCTGCCAAGCGGATTTCGGGGTCGATGGTGTACCCGTGTGTGAAGAGTCCCTTGAGTAGTGGATTCATCCGTTCGACTTGAATGGCGGCAACGTGTGCAGGCCGGCTGAGGGCGTCTGCTTTGTTTTTGTGGCCGGGCTTATACACGATGTCGTAGTGGAAGTGTGTCTCGAGGAAGTCGATCCACCGGACCTGCCGCCTGGAAAGGTTGGGTTGTGTCTTCAAGCATTTCAGGCTGCAATGGTTGGTGTAGACGGTCGTTCTTCGTCCTTTGAGATAACATCTCCACGCTTTGAAGGCGATGACGATGGCAAGGGCCTCTTTGTCGTGTATCGGGTAGTTTAGTTCTGCCCCGTGTAGTTTCTTACTCAGGTAGGCGATTGGTTGCTGTCCATTCCCCTGATCTTGCATTAATACTGCTCCCACTGCCTGGTCGCTGGCGTCAGCTTTGATTACGTAGTCGCATTCGGGATCTGGCAAGATGAGTACGGGTGCGGACGTGAGTGCTTGTTTCAGCTGCTCCATGGCTTCCTGGTGCTTCGGCTCCCAATTGTAGGGCGTGTTCTTCTTCAGCAGATTCGTGAGTGGTACTGCGAGTTTTGCATACTGTGGCACGAACCGGTTGTAATAATTAGCGAAGCCTAGGAACTGCTGCAACTCCTTCACGTTCTCGGGTGTCTTCCACGTACGTACGGCTTCGATTTTCTTGGGGTCGACGTGAACTCATTGAGCGCTCACCATGTGTCCTAGGAATTGGAATTTCTCAAGGGCGAATTCGCTCTTGGACAGTTTGACGTAGAATCCTTCTCGTCGAAGAATTTTGAAGACGCGTCGCAGGTGTTCGACGTGCTGCTTTATGTCATGCGAGTAGATGAGGATGTCGTCTAGGTACACCACCACGCACTCATCCAAAAGTGGTCGTAGAATGTGGTTCATTTCGGCTTGGAATGTTGCCGGTGCGTTGGTGAATCCGAACGGCATTACCAGATACTCGTACGATCCATACCGAGTTCGGAAAGCAGTTTTGTGGATAGAGTTGTCCGCCACCCGTATCTGCCAGTATCCGGACCGCAGATCCAGCTTGGAAAACAACATAGCTCCCCGAAGCTAGTCAAGCAGGTCATCGATTCGTGGTATCGGATAATTATTTTTTATGGTCTGCTTGTTAAGAGCTCGGTAGTCGGTGCACATGCGCAGGCTTCCATCCGGTTTCGGTGTGAAGAGTACTGGGGCACCGTATGGCGAAGTGGATGGTCGGATGAGTCCTTTGGCTAGGAGATACTCGATCTGTTTTTTCATGTCGGTCAGCTTCGTAGGGCTGAGCCGATATGGTGCTCGGAAGGTCGGTTTCGAACCCGTTTCCTCCACGATCTCGTGTTGATGCGTTCGGTATGGCGGTAGCTCGTTCGGAAGATCGTCAGGAAGAATGTCTTGGAACTCCTTCAACAATTCCTTGATCTTTCCTGGAGGTTCCGAGGTCTTCTCCCCATCATTTTCCACCTCTGTTGCTATCGCCAGGAACCCTGTGTCGGTTCGCTTCACGTCCTTCTCGAATCATGCGAGTGTCTCCACAGGGATATCTCCTGTATCGTCCCAGTTGGGTAGTTGGACCCTCCTACCATTGTTATAGATGCTTGCGGTGCGGTTCACCCAGTTGATCTCGGGGTTGAATCTTTTCAGGAAGTCTCTCCCGAAGATAAAGTCAAGCCCTTTGGTGTTGGTGATGGGGAGTGCAGGTCTCCAGCGAAGTGGTCCAATTTGTAGGTGTAACAGTGCTTCGCCGTGTACGGTAACTTGCTGCCGTCCACCATCGTTGCAGAGAAATATTGAAGGCTTGTACTCTTCCCGAAGTTGGTCGATTACTGCCTTGTCGCAGACGGTGTGCGATGCTCCACTGTCCACGAGTGCTTGGAGGCGTCGTCCTTTGCAGATGACCTCGAGCACGAGGGGCGGGCATTGCTCGGAGTACCCAAAGATGGTTTCATTGATGGGGTCATAGGGTACATCCCAATATTCTGAACACACCTTTGTGTTGCTATCTACTCCTGAGCTGGCAGCTGGCCGAGGCTGCTTGGAGAACGGCTCTTCTCCAAGGCCCGGAGTTTCCTTGACGACTGTGCGCGTCATTGATGCCGAAGAACTGGATGCATCCGGAGGAGGAGTTCGGGGTTTGAGCAGCTTCTTGTAGACCCCCAGCTTCCTCTTGAGCTGCTTCAGCTCCACCGACGTCTTCCCTGGGGAACGGGTAGTCCTTGTGGGCTGGTGTCGGGAGAGGACGTTGACTACGTGGAAAGGTCGGCTTCTTTCCACACTCCTTAATTTTTTCCCCAAGTTGTCTGGTACCGGTATAATCTCCACAGCTGTCTGCTTCTTTTGGAGTCCCTCCCGAAATTTCTCCAAGGCTCTAGCCCCTCGAAAATCATAAGTTTTCATTAAAGCATCTTTATAAGATAACTTTAACGAATCCTTATAATTTCTTGGGTGTTCAAGGAGTTTCCCCGTCTCGGCAGAGTCTTTTTTCGTAGAGTCGTATTTTTCCTCAGCGATTTTCCCTGGCGAAGACTGGTCGTGGGGTGGAGATTTTCCCCCATCATTTCCTCCTTCTCGCGTCGAATCAGCTTTGTCGAAGTTGATTTTCCCAGAATCTCGCGGCCGTTTTCGGATCTTTTCTTTTTCGCCAGCTAGATCCGCGATCACTGGCGACTCCAGTTTTTTGTCTTCTGATTGGTCGAAGGAATTCCTCCATTGTTGCGTGCCCGATACTCTGAGTGTGCGGCTTTCATTTTGTTGTAATCGAAGATTTGATGACCCGGCACCCCGCAAAAATCACACGTGTAGTTGGTGTTTTTCGGACGTGGCCGCCCCTCGAACCTGTTGACTTCAATCGGATCGGCGAACGTGGGGTGATTCGAAAAAATGCGGAGCTGGTGCTTACCAGAATCGGCGTCGAATTGGTCGCCCCCTGTGGTTTTTCGAGGTAGGTTTTCTCGCTGCTGCTGCTTTGTTGAGCGCGGCCGAGTGAGAAAAGCTCTGATTACCAAGTGTTACAGGATCGAATGTGTCGAGGAAAGATTGCACTATCGATCAGTACAAGGCGCTTTTATACTTCCAGGGTACATCAGGTAACCAGGTTTATCTTATCCAAAGGGAATAGACCCTTCTAGAAAATAGAATCACCCTGCGTATAGCTACGCGGGGCTATTGGCTTTAAGGGATTACGGCAGGATTACACTAGATATAGCGCGCCAGTACATCGAAAGCCTGGTCGGTGATATAATTAGAATATCAGGATAAACCAAAGGATAATGGAGAATGGAGAATAGGAAACCAAATGAGATGGGATAAAAAGAGAAATGAAAGAGGAAGGAAATAAGGAGAAGTCAAGTAGTGTAACGGGGTCGTACTCTCACAACAGGAGAGACAGGATGAGCACGAGAGAGACGGCGAGACCAGAAGTGGGACGGAGGCATCGGGTCAGGAGACACAGGAGGAGTCAGAGGAGGAGAACGAGGGGGGAAAACGAGACGGGGACGAGTGCGGCAGAGGAAACAGAGGGCCATAGACAGGTAGAGAAGGTGGCGGCGGGGAAGGCGCGGGCGAGTGGTCAGGGGAGGGAAGGCCGAGCAGGCGAAGGCCGGACACCGGTGGCGTCTGCTGCTGTTGCTCCACTCTGACACTAGAACCTCCAGCTGCACCACGGCTACCTCCGGAACGCTCCATTCCAGCACCCCCAGAGCGAGAACCCTCTCCAGCACCGATGCCACCCCCGAGACCGCCGGGACAAGCCATGACAGGAACCTCAGGACTAGCACCCCCAGAACCAGCACCCTCCTGAACTTCCGCACCCCCAGAGCTCGCAGACGGCTGCTGCTGCTGCGGGGGCGGCGGCGGCTGCTGCTGCGGCTGCGACGATGGCTGCGGCTGCTGCTGCGGTGGCGACGGCGGCGGCCGCTGCGACGGCGGAGGTGGGGATACCGGGAGAAAAATAGGCGGCGAGAACTGCGCTGCGGGGCCACCAGAGTCAGCCGACTCTTCGACCAGGACAACCGAAGGGAGGGGAGTGACGTGAGACACACCAGACGGAGCAAGACGGGGAGGGAGATGAGCAACGGCAACCGGGGGAGTGGGTACCAGAAAAAGGGGCAGGGAAACCGGGAGACCTCGGTCAGGAAAGCGGTGGTAGAGGGAGACGGACTCGTCGAAAGTGACGTTCCGCGAGTGAAAGAAGTGGTGATACGGCGGGTGGTAAAAGTGACAATCTGAAAAGTCAAGAGGGAAACCAAGGAAGACGCAGGGGACCGTGCAGGCAGTGAGCTTGTCCGTGCCAAAGGCACGAACGTGAGCGAGGCAGCCCTAGACGTGAAGGGTGTATGCGTCACCACGGAACCCGGTCCAGAGAAGGGTCGGTGAAACCTGCGACCGCTGGGAGTGCGGCCACAGGTTAAGCTGGTGGGCGGCGTAGCGAACGGTGAACGGCCACAGAATATGGGGTGCACCAGCCTAGATCATGGAGGCACGAGCCATCTCCATGACCAAACCGATGCGTCGCTCAGCGACCCCATTCTGCGCCAGGGAGCCTGGTAGGGTGTACGACTTGGTGATTCCCTCCGCACGACAGAACTGTCCAAGCCGACCGGAGGCGAACTCGTCGCCACGATCGGAGTGGAGACACATCATAGGGAGACTGCGGTGGACACGTGCAGCTACGACCTATGGGATAAGAACGTCAGGCACGTCGGCCTTCCGCTCCAGGGGAAACACCGTGGTGTAGCGCATGTAGTCATCAACGAGCACGAGAATGTAGAGCTCTCGACGCAGCCCCGGGACGGGGACTGGGCCCCAGATGTCCAGGTGCAGGGTCTGGAGTGGCGCGGTGGCAGGGCAAAGCAAGGAGGAATGAGGGGTACAGCGTTGCCGGCCCTCGACACAGAGCGTGCACGGCAACGCAGGCGAGGGAGGGAGGGTAGGGAGCGACACAGAGAGGCCTAGGAAGAGACCGTGCTGAGACATGTGACGCAGATGCGGGAGTGTAGGGCGACCTAGGTGGTGGTGCCACAGTAGCGACGGGTGAGTAAGCGACTGACACGAGCAAGCCGCAGCGACCTGGGTAGAAGCAAGACTCAGGGAGGACGCGCCCACCGAGGGGGAAGCAGTGTCGAGCGTAAATTGGCCAGACACTGTGTCCCAGGGGAGAGTCGCAAGGGGGGCATCTGAGGCGGCCTCGGTACAGACAGCGTACCGCTCGTGACCAGGGAACGTAGGGGTGACGCCGAGGTCCTGAAGACAACCGACACCAACTAGGTTCCTGGAAAACGAAGGGATGTGCAGGCCTGTAAGAGAACTCGAGGGAACCGCTGGACAGGGAAGAGTAGTGTAGCTACGGGCAACAACAGGACCAGAGGAGGGGTCAGCAAGTGCAACAGCGGCAGGCGTTGCAAGCGCCGTCAACGTGGTGTGGTCGCGGAAGAAGCAGGCAGACGCACCAAAGTCAAGCGTAAAGGACAGCGAAGCGGAAGCTGCGGCCGGTGGAGGAGCGAGCGTGGAGCCTAGACTAGACAAGGCAGAAGGTCCTACGCTTGACAAAGCAGGGGATTCTGTACTACACACAGGTAACACACCTAAACTAGGCTACACAGGGTAATAAGATCCGGGCACACTAGAAGCATCAG